GGGGGGGGGGCTCTGCAGGGTACAGTGACCCTGGCCCTCCCAACCAACAGGAATCTCAGGCTGCCTGCCACGCCCTCATTGCCCTGCTCTGAGCCCACATCTTGCACGTGGCTGCAGCAAGCTCAGTCTGCAAGCCAGCTCTTCCTCACTGTCCCCGTCGCTCTGGCCCCTGGGATTACCAACAGGTGACAACCTTTCCTCTGTACCTCATCGGGACACCTCCAGACCACTTGGTCAGTAGCAGCAGGTGGCCATTCAGGACATGTTCATCAAATGAACTGGATAGAACCGGGGCCCGCTGTCCCATAGGGTCATGGAGGGTTGAAGAACCTCAGCCCAAAGCCTAGAGTCTTTGCCTACCTTCCTGGGCCTCACTCCAGCTCCACTGCAGAGCCCAGCCTGTGACCACAGCGACCCGCGAAGGACTCAGGGTTCAGATGCCAGGTTTGTTATCAAAGAGAAAGGGCTTGGCTCCACAGCAGGGCCGGCTGTTTTCTCAGTGAATGGCAATTCCAGGAAAGTTGGCTCTGCTTGGGAAGACCCAAGACCCAACCTCAGACTATTCCTGGTACAGAATGTGACTTTAGTAGGTACAGGAGAAAGGGAGGGAGAACGTGGTGGTGTCACCTCTGAGCCCCTCTGTGGGCCTCATCTTCCCCATATGCAAAGTGGGGGTGATAGCCATGCCCCTCCCTAACACAGGTCAAGGGAGAGGGGGGAGCTGGAGGGAGGGCGGAGGAAGGGAAAGGGAGGAGGTTCACTGAAGGTCCTTTGTCATCTGAAGTGTCATTTGAGCAGCTGGAATGGGGCCACCCTCATGGGTTCTGGGTTTCAGGCTCATTCCCAGGGGCTATCAGAGCTGAGCTGTGGCCCAGGTCCCAGCAGGGACAGCTCTCAGGCACTGGGCCAAGGCCAGGATTGCATGGTGGACAGAGCACATATTGGGACCTGGCCCAGTGCACGCCACACCCCCTGCCCTGCCCATTTCCTTGTTTCCTCGTTCACTCCTGTCAACCACTGACCTCAGGTGCCTCTTCATGCCTGCCAGCCTCAGGCACACCTGGCTTTTCAACCGCCAGGTGTCCTGCCCACGGCACAGTGGGGGCTGTGCAAGAAGGAAGGGCCCCTGACTCCCACTGGCCTTCTCCAGGGACCTTCCACCACCACTGATGACCACCCTGCTCCAGAAGTGTGTGGCCACCACCCGAGGCTCTACAGCAGTGAACCCGTATCTGTGGGAAAGTCTCGTGCTCCAGCCACAGGCTGCTCCAGGTTGGCGGGCTCCTTGGTACTCTCTGCCCCTCAACACACTCGGGGTACCTCTTCATCTTTCACTTGCAGAGCTCACTGCATGCCGACAGACCCCAGCCCCCCAAGGCTCCAGCCTCCCAACTCCTAGGGCTTGCTCCCACAGTGCCCCTCCCACTGCCTGCCCCCCTCCTCCTGAGCAGGAGTCTGGTATCTTTGGAATCGTGGCCTTTGCCCTCTCCTCCCAGGGAGTGTGCGGCTGATTCATCACACCCACTGAGGGCGATGGTGGGCACGGACAAGGGCTGGGAGCATTGGTGACAGAGGGCTGGGAACTTGTGAAAGAGAGACTGGCTGCTGTTTGACCCAGCACAGGAAGATGTCTGAACCACAGTGCCTTGTGCTGTCCACCCAGGAAGGTGGTGCCAGCCTCCTAGAGCCTGCCCTGGGACATGAGCACCACACCACGCTGGACTCTGGCTAGACACCCGGGAAAGCCTTGACCATGCCCTGTGAGGTGCCCCACAGCCCCTCTGCTTTCATCTAGGGGCTCCCTTGAGTCACAGGCATTGGGTCACCCACAGTACACCAAGAAATGGCAGATGCAGACAGAGCTGGCCAGGGGTCAGGCAGCTCCCACTCCATGTGACCCAGGCAGGCCGCAGCCCTGCTCTGGGCCGCCCTATTCTGTCTGTACGATGGGTGGCAGCCACCAGCCTGCACACCGCACATGAATTCTACAGATCAAATGAGGCAATAAATAGGAACCTGCTGTTGGTGCCAGCATCGGGGGCTAGTCCTGGATTAGTGTGAAGTTGGGTGAGTCCGCGCCTGCCTCTGCTGACTCCTCCTCCAAGTCTCCCCCAGCACAGAGTGGGTCCTCCACAAGGCCCGGTCCCACAGGGCTGCAACCTGCAACAGGTGAGTTTCCCTCCAGTGACAACCTGCAGCTCCTGGAGGGAACTCCTGCCCTGGTGTCAGCTGATCCCGCAGCCCCCCTGGAGGCCACGGCCAAGAGGAGGTGGCAGCCTGGCGGAGGAGGATCTTTCCTAAGTACCTTCCTGTGGCTCTGAATTGACCCCGTGAAGCTCGGCCATCCTCGCTGCAGCCTGTTTCCTTATCGGGAGAGGAAGAGAGTGAATGAAAGGGTCGATTTCTTTCTTTTTTTTCTGCAAAAGCTTAGGCCTGAGACAAAGGAAGCTCTGTGCACCTCGAGACTTGGCCCTTCCTACATGACGCTCCCAGGGAAGTCGCAAGATTAAAAATTAATAACAGAAACAGCAGACATCACCCAGTGACTGGAGGCTGAGGAGGAGTCCAATGAGCCCAGAGTCAGAGCAGGTGGGCACCTTAGATTCATCCTCCTGCACCCCCACTTTGCAGATGGGCAGGCTGAGGTCTAGAAACCAAGGCTACATATAAGGCAAGCAGCCTTAGGTCCCCGACTCCCAGGCAGAGTTATTCCTGTTAGGCCTCGACATGTTGTTGTTTTGTCTGTGATGCTGCGCCTGGAACCCCGGGGCCTCTTGCATGCTACGCATGTTCTGTGCTGTACCCAGGCCCACCCTTCCACTCTTGACAGTGAGCAGACCCATGAGGAGGAGGGACACAGGACAGAGACGGAGGAAAAGGCATGGCAGAGAGGGCAGCTGTCTCGGGGAGAGGGCAGGTGAAGGTACAAAGGAAGGAGGCCTCTCTTGGCTCCCCCTCTTACCCCTGGCTCCGGGGCGGGGGGGGGGGGGTTGCAGGAACTTTGCAGAGTCAGAGGGTCAGTTCCAAGACAGGTCAGTCCTCTTCCAGATCCTTCAATAGTTGCCTATGGGAGGAGCAGAGCAGCCTGGGCCCTGACCACAGAGAGCCAGGTCATGTGAGGGGCCTCCAAGAAGCACATTCCAGGCCCTACTGTCAGCAGGTCAGACCCTGAGAGACCATGTGGCCCCCTCCACCCTCACGTTTGCTTTCAAGGGAAAGGGGACTGAGCGTGGGGAAGGAAGCGGGCAAGCTCATCTGACTAGCCGGCAGAGCACAACCTGGACCACAGAGGTCCCTCAGCTCCCAGCCAGGGCTCTTCCCTTACTGCATCCGTCTCCCTGTGCCAGAGGCCAAAGTTTGGAATGGACAGAGGCACAGGCTGGCTCCCAGCGGCAGCAGTAGCAGGACCTTCCCAGCTCCACCAGGCTGTATCCAGGCACTGACCTCTCAGCTGCCCTCTGGGGGGTGGGGGTCATGAGCAAGCAAATGCCCAGGCCTGGGCCTTGGTGCAGAGCAGGTTCAGGGCGTTGTCCTTGGGTGGGACACAGCAAGGCAAGCCTCTTAATGTGCCTGGCTCTGCCATCTGAGGACCCCCTGTGTCCAGATCACCTGGGGAGCACATGAAACATGCAGGTTCTTGTCCCAGCCCTGCCCCCAACCCAGTGAAAAAGCATATGTCCCCACGGAGGGGGGCATCCTCACAACTGCACCCACCAGGGAAAGAAGATTGCACGAAGAACTTTCCATGTCCCAGGATGTCAGCAGAGAGGCCATGGCCCATTCGCAGGCTCTGCTCTGAGCAGCTGCTAATTGGCACCACTGTTCTACTTCAGCTTAAGCCTGAATGAGGTCACCCTCCTGGTGCCACCCCACATGAGTCCAATAAAGAAAGAGCTCCATGGCCCAGGGCCAGCCAGCCTGGCTCCAACCCTGGGAAGGCCCCGAGCCTGGAATCAGGACAACTAGGGTGACCAAGAGCCTGGAACAGAAAGACTCCCTGAACGTGAAACTTGAAGCACTGAAAGCAGGAGGAGCTGGTCGCCCGAGACAGTCTGGGACACCTGGGTGTTCCTCCTCTGGGGGGGGGCTCCTGGAAGTCATGGAAGCCCACCCCGCAGAGCCCCCAAACACTCAGAGCCAGAGCTGGGAGTCCCTGGAGTCGGGCAGGGACCTGCCCCTCAGCATCATCCATTGTTTGCGTGTGTCAGACCTCTGTTCCTCTTGGTGGCCGGTGGGCGGCAGGCCGCATCTTGTTTATCCACTCATCTGTTGATGGACACTCGACGGGTTCTGCCTTTGCCTCCTGTGACTGGTGCCACTCTGAACAGTTCACAAGTTGGAGAGTCCCTGCTCGCACTCGATCACCTGCTCACGTGGTCTATGTTCAGCTACTGAGGAGCCGCCCTGCTGCCCACAGTAGCTGCACGTTTTCCTTCCTTCCAGCAAAGCTCCACGGCTCCCGTCCTCCACATTCCTGCCAACACCTGTCACTTTCCAACTCTGGATACTTGGGCTGTTACTTATTAGACCCCCAAATCTCCACAGCCACCTCTGTGTGGAATATCCACTAATGCACCCCACGTGGACCCCACACTCCCTATGCAGACTTCTACTGCAGCACTTGAAGACCGAGGTCCCTTCATGTCTTTTCTCATCTCTGTGAGATAATCCCTCAAGACAGAAACCCGTCCCATTGGCCATCCCCTGGGACCCAGTAGATGAATCTCTGAGTGCCACGGTGATTAGTGATGTCCACCCTGCTGGGGGGTGGCAGCACCACACACAGTGGGGGTCTATAGAACCAGTGGTGGAGGCTGTGCTGGGTCAGAGCCCCAGAAAGCTCTGCAGCAGTGCTTTTACAAAGTAGCAGTAATCATGACAGGGTTGAGACCTGAAACAAGTACCACACAGAGAACCACGTGCCTGATGGCAATGCCCACATTTCGCCAAAGAAGATGTATAAATGGCTGTCCAGCACATGGGGAGATGTTCCGTAGCATTGGTCAACGGAGAAAATAGAAATCAAGGCCACTGTGAGGGCTGGGGGTGTAGCTCAGAGGTAGAGTGCTTGCCTTGCATGCATGAGGACCTAGGTTAGATCCCTATTGTCACAAAAACAAACACCCACAATGAGAAACATTTCGCCTTCAGTAGGCTACTGCCACATGAGGACAGCCAGTCGCACCCTCTGTGAGGAACGGCACTTCACAGAGACACTCAACCCGCTGTTGCTTCCGTCAGGGTTTCCTGGCCTCCAGAACCGTGAGCAACACATGTCTCTTCTCATAAACCCCCGGCCTCGGGTATTTTACCATGGCAGCAGGAATCGACTAAGGCACTGGGTGGAAGAAGGCAGATTCAAAGGCCATGTGTTGGGACTGGGGGTGAGGCTCCGTGATGTGGCTCACCTGCCTAGCCTGCACAACGCCCTGGGTGGGATGACTCCATTAATATGGAACGTCTAGAACAGGCAGATCCATAGAGCAGAGAGCAGGCTAGTGTCTGCACAGGGCAGGTGGAGGGCAGAATGGGCACAGGCAACCTTCCCAGGGAGAAGAGAGTGTTCTGAAGCCACCTGCACTGGTGGTGGCCCGACATCTGAATCCACTGATAGCCAAAGGGCTGTGACCTCAAGGGGTGAATTGTATGGCATGTGTGCAACATCCAACAAAGGTAGGCTGCAGGCTGGGCTCAGGTGTGTGGCCTGGCCACTACTGGCCAGTGACTTTCTCTAGGTCCCCGTTACCCTGGCCCTTCCCTTGACCTGGCCTGTCCCCTACCCCACTGCAGCTGGGGCTACAGCTCCCATGTGCTGCCTGCTCCTGTCTCTGGGGTGAGCTCAGCACTCTGGGCTCTGTGCACTAGGGTGCCACCTCCCAGAGCGGCCTGCCGAGCCCACGCCCACCTGGTGTGCGTGTCTGACTTCCTCCTGTGCTTCTAACAGCCTTCCCCCGTGGTTTTGTTTCTTCACTGTTTGGGGCACACACATACACACGACCCAAGACGCATTCATCCGTCTCTATTACAAATAACGACCTTGCAGTCCAGCTCAACTCTCTGAAGTTTTAAGACAAGGCCACAAACGGAGGGCCTCTGAATTCCTCTGGCTGGCATCTGGGCTTTGTCATCCCACCGTGTTATCCCGAGAAATATTCCCTATTTCAGAATCATATTAATTGCAAGATTTAAACATCATCAGAGCTCACATAAAAATGTGGGCTTCTGGCTTCTCTTGACAGCTCTGAGACTGGGGACAAGGGTCCATGCTCCCACACGGCAGCCAACGCTGGAGCTGAGCAGCTCTGTCAGCTGTGGCATGCAGGAGCTGCCTGGTCGGCCTCACTCCCCACGGTGGGTGTCCTAACGTCTGTCCCCATCAGTGTTTCTGTAAACAACCCCGATTTAAACTCAATGTGGTCTCACAATTGCTTCACTGGAGCCCAGCACCATGGCAGCCACCTGTAGTCCAGTGGATCCGAGTTCAAAGCCAGCCTCAGCAACTTAGTGAGGCCCTAAGCAACTTCTCAAGACCCCGTCTCAAAGTGAAAAATAAAATGGGCTGAGGATGCGGCTCAGTGGTTAGGCACCCCTGGGTTCAATCCCTGGTACCCAAAAAACAAACAAACAAATGATAAACATAAACAGGGCCGGGGCTGAGGCAGTAGCGTGGCACTCACACACACACCAGGTCCGCGGCTCAGCATCCAGGACTAAGGGGGGAATCGCTCCCTGGCTTCCTGTGCTTGTATTTTCTTCTACTATTCATTCAACAATCTTTTATTGTGTATCTACCATTCTCCAGGCTCTGAGTGGGCACCAGGGACCCCAAAAATGAGAAAGACTAGGCCCCTGGCCCCTTGGGCCTCTGGTTTGCAACTATCACCTTCCACCCTTCCATACCTTGTCACAGGCCCACGGCTGCATGCAGGCCGACCTGTCCCCATGCTCCCCAGCACATGGCATGTAGCACTTGGAAGGACAAGGTCCGACTCCCAGAAGAGCAGGGTCTTGGCACCCAAGGGTGGGGCAGGGGCCAGAGGACCAGAGCTGGGGAGGCCAACCCCAAGGCTGACCCACAGGAGCTGGGAAGGGTTGCAGTACAGAGTGCAGTCAGCTCACCACTCACTCTCCCCCTGCTAGACTGAGACCGCCCGCTGGGAAAGGCCAACGGGTGGACAGGTAGGCACAGAGGCAGGAAGGGGACACCAGGAGGGTTTCCTAGGCCCAGTGACAACGGGGAAGGAAGCATCGAGGGAGATCAGGGAAGGAGTCCGGTGCCCTGAGCTGCATCTTAGGCTGCAGAAGGTGGCATGCAGAGCAAGGTCCCCTGGTTTCCAGGTCAGCACTGTTCTCAGGAGGGCTCCCTGTCTGAGGAGGGGAGCTCCCTGCTCCCTCATCCGGGCTCCTCAGGCTCCCCTCCCACATCCTGGCAAACTGTGAGTGTGGGGGTGGGGCACCGTTGGCCCTGGGGTTCTCCAGTCCAGGCCACCATCACTGCAGGGACACTTTGAGTGTGTTTTCCTTGGGGCCAGGGCATTTTGTCTTCTTTGCTCTTCTTGGGAGCCCATTTCAATGCATCTCTAAAATCACCCTGGCATCCATTTTTGAGGTGCTTTTTTTCCTGATATATATATATATATTTTTTTGCTTTTTTGTTGTTTTATTATTTAATTTGTTGTTAGTTCTTGCTTTTATTTTTGGATCCAACACTCACCGTTTGCAGTTTGTTGACTGCACACAGGTTGTTTTGTATGCTCTAAGACTGTCCTTCCTTTACAGGGATCCATCTCCACGTTCCCGAGTTTGTTTGAAGCAGGTTTTCTCTTTTCTGCACAAGGTGCCTGCCAGTACTTTCGGTCTTTCTTCTCTTCTAACAGTGCTGTGTACCATGGACCCATGAAGCTGTCCATCTTTCTTCTAGCTGCAGGGACAGGAAGGAGGAACTTCCCTCCTGCCCTGAGAGGCCCTGAGTTCACCCAGTAGGAACACGCCTCTTCCCTAGTGAGGGGCTGGTGCAGGGCAGATATCCTTCTCTGGGGACAGTAGATTGGTCCAATCCTAGGAGGCTCCCCAGGGAGCCAACATGCTGGCAGGTGGTGAAGCAGGCAGGCTTTGAACCCGACAGTTCTGTTCCTTCCCAGTCCTACGCCTGGCCCAGGCACCTAACCTTTAGGGACTATTTCTTTACCTGGAAGTTAGTAAAACCTGAGGATGACATGAGCTAATACTTAGCAGAGTAGCAGGCATCCTGACTGTGCCCCACTGCAGAGGTCACAGATCTGGGGATCTCACAAACCTGAGCCACTGCTGGCCTTTGGAGCCCTGGGTATGGCATTACCCCCGGCTCCCCAGGTGCATGAGAAGCCCGATTCCTGGCCCCTGCCTGGGTGTTACTTCACTGGCCCGACCTCACTGGCCCTTCCAGCTCAGATCTGCCCTCAGGCAACTGCCCCATGAGGAACACCTGCACTCCACCCTGGACCCAGGCTTCCCCAGATGCACAGGGTAAGTCAGGGTGGGCAGAACTATTTCTGTGAAAGCAGCTCAGGCAGAACTGTCCTGCACACCATTGAGGGCAGAAGGGATGTCCCACAGAGTCCCCAGGCAGCAAGGCCTGCCTAGGGCACTGATTGAAGGCTGTCACCTTCTGCCCTCTCGTGTCAGTGTGACCCCTGCCACCTGGGGCAGAGAGCCTGCAGTGCTCACCCATCTAATTTCCTTTTTGTATAACTTGGGCTGGTCAATTCAGTTTTGCAGATCTCAGTTTTTCGGTCTGTAAAAAGGAATAAAGCTACCCATTTCCAGCGAATTACTCTCCTCTCTTCACCTAACAGCATAGGGACGTGCATTCTGTAACCATCAACTCACTCTCCAAATGTGCGGGCCTCTCAGGGCCCAGGACATTCCTTGCAGGCAGTGGGCTTTGACGGAAGGTGCTAGAAGACCCCTCCTGGAGGCAGAGGCAGAGGGCAGCATGGCTGGCAGCCTGGGGCAGAGGTGAGCCAGGCCCCCACAGAAGTCTTCCAGTTTCTGATATCCAATGGTCCTGCTGGAGGAAGCCTGGGAGCTCAGCAAGCAGTATTATTCTAGGACACAAGGGCAGGGCTCCAGGATGAGAGGGGAGAAGGAGGTCAGAGGCCACTGAAGGGACAGTGCTGGCTGCTGCTGCTGCTGGCCAGGGAGCCTCTAGTGTGGATGACCCAAAGGGTGGGACTCTAGTGAATCTAAAGTGGTGATGTATATCCCTAGAGAGGACCTCAGGGTCCAGGAGGCCCACATGAGAGACCCTGGACACTAGGGACAGAGGGCGCTGGCCAAGGCTGGACACCCCAGTGTCCCCAGTCTCTAGACTGCTCAAGTGATGGGGGCTGGGCAGGGTCTGACTCATCAGGGCTGTGGGCTACTGGGCGAAAGCCAGGCCCCTGGTCTAGCTGCAGCTCAGGATGCCTCTCACCCATGTAGGTCTAGGCTCCAGCTGCACCCACACCAGGGCAGCAGCAGGCTGGGACACTGGTTGTGCTGCAAGGACACAGGCAAAGGTGATGCCCTGCGGCAGCCGGGCAGAAGCACCCTGGAGCCCACTGCCAGGGGCCTCCGACGCTGAAGGGGAGGTATGGCTAAGGAAGTGAGCAGGGTCTCCCAGGTAGACGTGTGAGATGGCCAGAGCCCAGCATGGGAGACAGACGCCCTCCAGGGAAGCGGTGAGCCAGGCGGCTGGAGGCTTCGGGGAGCTGGGTGCGGCCTAACGCAGAGGAAGGCCTTCCAGGCATGACACTGTCCACTGGCTGCCTGTTGCTCTGCCGGTTGCCTTCACACCTGGTTCCTGTTGGCCTCAGGGGACCCAACTCAGTGGAGGCCTGGCAGCTGCCCTGGGCAAAGCAGCCTCCTTCCCTCCATTCCGGTGCCGTGTTCAGTCATGGCTCACAGCACCTGACCCTGTCCAACACCAGGCCCCACAGAGGACCTGACCCTGTCCAACACCAACCGTCTCAACTACGGGAAGTGCCGCCACTGAAAATACATCCTTCATTAGCTCACCCTCTCCTCCTGAGCAGAAGCAGGGTGCTGCTCTGGAGGCCCCGCTGCACCCAGTCTCTGGATGACGGTGCCCAGGCCGAAAGGCCTCTGCCGTCGCCACCTGGGTTCCACAGCACACCTTCAGCCTCAGCGGCTCAAAGGCCTGAGTTTTATGCCTTATGGTTCACAGAGGCTGGAGGTCCGAGGCCGAGGAGCTGGCAGGGCTGGTGTCCCAAGGCTTGCAGATGGCCATTCTCTTGTTGCCTCTTGGAAGGATCTTCTTCTGGGCACACCTGTCCTGATGTCTTTGTGTGTGTTGAAATTGTCCCTTCTTATGAGGACACCAGATTGGGCAGGGCCCACTAATGATCTCCAGATGGTCATGCTCTGAGGCACTGGGACTTAGGGGGATGCAGTTCGGCCCAGAGCAGCCACGGAAAGACCCTGGGCCTGGCCAGCGGCTGAGTCCTCTGGGTGAAGAAGGGCAGGGTCTATCCTCGGGCCCTATCACACTAGGGTGCTGCTTAGAGCTCCACTAGTGTCTGGTGGCTGATGTGGCCATCTCCCTGGGCACAGTTCCTTGAGACCTGGGCTCTGGGCCTCCTGGGCTCTGGGCCTCCCGAGCTGGCTGCAAGACTTTGTGGCCAATGTAGGACACTGAATGAGTAAACGTGAAGAAGCTGAAAGTCCCTGGCCACAGGGAGGAGGAGGAAGAGGCTCCAGAAGGGAGGCTGGCATTCCCAAGCCCCTGCCCACTCTGCCTTGCCTGGAAACCCCTCCACACACAGCAGCCTTGGCACTTGCACCAGTCAGTCTCACACTGGCATGAGGTTTCCAAAGAGGTTTCATATCCATATTTCCCAAGGCTCAGAGCATAGTGTGGGAGGGAGGAAGCAGGGCAGGCCTTGCTGCCATCCACCCACTGCCCCGGGAGATCAGGTCCAGCTTGCCCAAGGGTGTGGTTCAAACTCTGGGCCCATCCCAAGCTGCAGGACTGTCCTAGGGCTGGCCTGAGTGGGAGCTGGGCTCCTAGGGAGCAATGATTCATAGCTGCTCCTGCTCTGTAGACAGGCCCAGGGAGCTGGCAGGATCAGACCTGTGCATGTAGCCACCCAGTGCCAGGCACGGCATCCAGGCCCCAGACCTGGCCCGCCCACCTCCATCCGCAGCACCAGGGCTGGACACAAAGAGCTCAGGAGGAGGACAGGCTTTCCTGTCAGTCCTAGAGCAAGACTCTGAGGCAAGCCCTGGCTATGCCAAGCCAGAAACCTGGCCTCTTTTTCTCTCCATAGTAAGGATTAAACCCAGGGGTGCTTTACCACTGAACTACTCCTTTTGTGCCCTCAGCCTTTTGAGGCTGGTCTCAAACTTGTGATACTCCATACTCCTGCGTCGCTGAGATCACAGGCAACTGCCACCGTGCCAGCAAGAAGCCCCGTACTTTCAGACAAGTTCCTGAATGTCTGAGCTGAAGACCCCTCATTGACAAGTTAGAAATAGATATACCCACTAAAGCAGTATTTGAGAGCTTACTATGTGCTGACCTTGGGGACAGAGATGGACATGAAAGGGGACAGACATGCTTAGGGCAGGGACAGATCCTGCCTATGTAGTGCTGGGGGTCCCTTTATCTGGGGTCAAGGATACCTCCCAGGGAAGAGGATGCGGCTCTGGCTGGATAATGAGATAGAAGACTCCAGGGCCCACAAAGCACTCAGGCTCTGTGGCTCTTGTCCTCTGGGCCTGCTCAGGAGGGGAGGGGTCAGCTGATGTTGGGTCCCCCTGCACTGTCTCCTTAGTGATGTCAGGCTCCAGAGCTGTCCTCAGGGCCTGCTCCCTCTGCCCCTGGGAAGGAGACCTTCTCCAGCAAGCCTTCCCTGCCAAGCGCCAGGCCCCTCCCGGGCCCACAGGATACCAGGGATCCAAGAGGACCGACGCCCAAGGTCACGCCGCCGTGGGGCCCCACCGCTGGGCCGACAGCCCCGGACGCCCGCGCACCGCTGCCAGGCAGCATTTCTGCGCCGCCCCGACCCCGCCCGTCATTACCGCCCTCCGGGCAGACGCTGCTGAGCTCGGCGGCGTCCAGCTGGGCTGGAGGGTCGCCTGCGCCGCTGCCCCAGCCTCTGCCCTCGCTGCTGCCAGCGCACCTGGCTGCGCTGCGACCCTGCCCAGGCCCA